CAAGGAGTCCAGTCGGGACGGGAAAAGCGGTGGATAGCAATGGGGGGGCAGTAAGTCAGCTGCACGCAGCCCGTTCCCCAGGCACGTCCATGACAAACGGACAACACACACACACACGCACTTTTGCGTCGGCGGCGAGGCAGGGGTCGTCTGCGCTAGCGGAAGGCTGCCGTTAGATTGAATTGTGCCATCATGCAGGGGGGGGGAGGCGGAGGACGCGGCTGAAAGAGACGGCGGGGGCAGCGAGCCGCTCAGGTGGACGGGCCACGCCCCGAGCGCGACTCACACACACACACACACATCCATACTCACAGGGGGGCTGACCTGCACTTCGCGATCTGAGGCTGCGCTGTAGGTATGGGCGCGGGCCGTCGGACAGCGAGGGGCATGGGGCCCCCTCTCCAGCGGGGACCCCCCTCCGACAACGCGCACCCGTGGGCCTTCCAGAATCGGCGGTGGACAAACCTCCCTTTAGTAAACCTCTCCTGCGTGAAAACGGCCTGGGGCCGAACCCGACGGACCTGGACACGCAAAAATGACGGCCGCGACGCCCTCTCGCGAACCGAAAACGGCCAATGCCTTAATCGACGTGTCAGGGTAGGAGGCCTGTCCACCTCCGACAGAAGGCCTCCACGACAGGTCCGGGGTTCGCACGGGCGCCAGTGGTCAGCTCCGGCCTCTGGGCGCCCAGGGGCGCCAGTGCCTCGAGGAGGCGTGCCCCGCTGCGGGGCCGAAGCCGGGTGCGCGCAGCAGCCCTCGTACGCCGGAGCTCCCTCCTGGCCCGATCCCACCCTTTCGCCCGACCCCACCAGCCCAATCCCACACACCCTTTCGTCCGGCAACTTTGTAAGTCGTATCGCTTGATCTGGTTCGCATCTCGCTGCCGAGCTTTTTCATCGTGGAAAAACAAACAAAAAGGTACACAAAAAAATGAATGAACGTTTTGTAGATTCGGCGTTTCGACATTGGGCGGAAAGGGGGGGAGGGGGGGTCTGGCAAGATCCACTCCATGGGGGGGGAGGGGGGGAGGGGGCAAGGGCCCGCGCCGCTCGGCAAAACAGGGGATAAAAAAAGATCGCATACTCGTCGCCTGGTCTTCGGGTCATACCTCGGGCCTGCGGCGGCCGCTCGGGACGACCTGGGCAGCCCCGGAGCGCTCTCGGCGAGGCGCAGCTGCTGGCGGGGGCGCTCCGCTGCACCTCGGAGCTTCGCGGGGCCAGAGGGCCGAGGTCGGCTACCTCGGACGCGGTCGGCTGGCGGGGCCCCCCCCCGGGGGGGCACGGCATCCGAGCGCGCAGGCCCATGGCGGGGGGACTCCCCGTGGGCCCGCGCCACAGGTCGCCCTTGCGAGGGGTCACGCGTAGCCGACGCAAGCCCCCGAGAGGGCTCGATCTAATCCCCGGGACGGGCTCGTCCAGAAGAGGAAAAAGAAAAACAAAAAAAACGTAAACACTTTTTGCGCTCCGCGAGGATTTCTTGGATCTGCGCTGGACACCCCTCCCTGGCGCGCGGCGCCAGAGGCGCCGCCAGAGGGGCCACAACGCGGATTCCAGAAATCCGCGCGGGGCGCCAAAAGTTTATGTTGATGCCGTTTCTTGATATTATCTGTTGTTGATATGATTCTCATTATTATTAGTATTATTATTGATATTGTCATTCGTATTATTATTAAAAGTATAATTATTATGTGTATCATTATTATTAGCATAAGTATTATTATTATTGTTATGAGTATTAGTATGATGATTATTAGTATTAGTATTATTATTATCATTCGTAGTATTATTATTATTGTTATTATTGGTATTAGTGGTATTATTATCATTAACAATGTTATTATTATTATTATTCGTATTATTCTTATTATTCTGCTTATTATTAGTATTATTATTGTTAGTACTCTTCTTATTCTGATTAGTAGTAGTAGTAGTAGTAGTAGTAGTAGTAGCAGTAGTAGCAGTAGTAGCAGTAGTAGCAGTAGCAGTAGCAGTAGCAGTAGCAGTAGCAGTAGCAGTAGCAGTAGCAGTAGCAGTAGCAGTAGCAGTAGCAGTAGCAGTAGCAGTTAGCAGTAGCAGTAGCAGTAGTAGTAGCAGTAGTAGTAGTAGTAGTAGTAGTAGTAGTAGTAGTAGTAGTAGTAGTAGTAGTAGTAGTAGTAGTAGTAGTAGTAGTAGTAGTAGTAGTAGTACTATTATTCGATGTGTGCAGTTCCTGACAGTCCCGGAGCCCAGCGAGGGCCCCCAGAAGCCGCCCGTAGCAAGAACCTCCCGTCGCGAGCTCACCACGACGCGAAGAGGCCCGCTCCCAGGGCCCCCCCGCGGCACCGCGGGAGCCTCGAGGGCCGCCGGGGGGGGGCGCGGGAGCGCTGGGGTCGCCGACGCTCCCCGCCCGGGGAAGGGCCGACGCAGGATCTGTCGCAGGATCCAGGGTCAGAAGCTGGGCGAGGGCTGGCAAAGCCGCGGCTGCTAAAGCGGTCTTCCCAGAAAAAAAGAAGAACAAACTCCCGGAGTAAAACTCGGCGCACTAAACAGTAAACGAAGCGGGTCTCACACGCGAAGTGGCATGGCGAAGCTGCGCGATGGTTTACGCGGGCCGCCAGCGCGGCACGCCACACTAAAGGCGAGGGCGCTCACCCACGACCTTGCGGGGGCAGCTTACGCGCGAATGTCCGCGCAGTCGAACCCGTTTTTCTCGATCGCTCAGCTGTGACTCAAAAAAGTCCGCTCAAAAAAAAATAGTATCCGCCACCACCGTGCCCCCTGGCACGTTGAGGCGTGGTAGAATGCCAAGTGCTGTCTGGAAGGATGTTTGTAATATTCTGAGGGGCACCCCCTCCAGGCCGCACCTCGTTGCGCGCACCGGCCAAACTGCAGGGGGTCCCTGGACGGCCATGGTGCCTCCCCGGGGCTCTCCAAGGCTTCCATGACGCCCCTGGAAGCCCCCCAACACGGTCCAAGAGGGCCCCGAGTCGCCGAACCATCGCTCGAAGATGTTTGAAAGATTTGGGCGTTCTCGCCTTTTCTGCTTTCCGACGCTCCAAGACCGCCCAAGAGGCCCCCAAGACCACCCCAAAACGGCCCAAGAGGTCTCCAAGAGGGCCCCCAATCGGCCTAAGGGCGCCCAAAGACGGCCCAAGAGGCGCCCAAGATGGCCCAAGAGGGCCCCAAGACGGTCCCATAAGGGGCCCCAGAGAGGGAACACGAACTGAAAATCCGGCCCAGAGAAGCTCCCAAGAGGTCCCAGGAGGCCCCAAAACAGCCCCCAAGAGGCCTCAAGCTGCCTTCAAGAGGCCCCCGCGAGGCCTCCCACGAGATTCCAATGAACATCCACTAGGCTGATAACCAACAACCCTGGCACGATGGCGAGGCTTGCCGTAGGCAGCTCGATAAACATCAACGGCTGGAGGTCCGCGGAGCTGATTTCTTGGATCTGCGCCTTGAAAGCGGAAACGCGCGTCACTCCGCTCCGCGGGGCGGGAGGCTGGTGGCGGGAGGCTGGGAACAGCTCAGGACGCTGAAGCTCGGGGACCGCAAAGTGGATAGCGTGTAGCATCGAGGCGTGGTGGGTCAGAACCGGCGGAGCGACAGGCTATCCAAAAGTTCCCCGATCGACGATGCACAGTCGGAGCTGAAAGTAAGGACGCGCGATGAGGATGCCAGCCCCCTGGACGCCCATGTCGAAGCTTCTCGAGCGGGGCGCGCCATAGAAAGTGGTGAAGGATGTACCGAAGAGGCAAGGATGCAAGGGTACCCTTGGAAAGGCTACCCAAGCCCAAGACGACTCGACGACCCGCCCTGGGCTCCAAGATGACCCCGACAACTCGTCCGAGAGGCCCCGAGGCGAGCCCAGGATCCCCCCCCAACAGAGGCCTTCAGTGAGGCACGGAGATGCAACCAACAGTGGTGAACCTACTGAAGGCCATACAGCGTTTGCGCCCGAGGCTGTCCAGATGCAGACCACATCAAGGAAGCTTTCCAGAGAGCCTCGAGAAACCTCTGAGCTTGCCGAGCACGGCGAAGAGGGGGCCCCTGGACGGCGCCCAGGACTGCGAGAAATCCCGCCAGACGGGCCGGAAGGGCCCCAAGAGTGCCCAAAGGGTGCCCAGCCGCCACAAGATGGTCCAACCGAGCATGTTCCCAAGAGCTCGATAGAACAACCGCGCCCAACACGGCCCCGAGACGCCCCAACGGCCCCCAACGGACCCCCGAGAGGCACCCAAGAGTGGCCCACAAGAGGCCCCAAATAAGCCTCCCAGATGCCTTCAAGAGGGACGAGGGAGGAGGAGGAGGAGGAGGCAGCAGGAGGAGGCAGCAGCAGCAGGAGGAGGAGGCAGGAGGAAGAGGAGGACGAGGAGAAGAATGAATGCGGAGGAGAACGAACCTGCGGACCACGATGGGGCGTTAGATATACGCGCCAGCACAAACTGGACACTGAACTGGAGTGGGTCTTAAACCAAGCATCCTTCCTGCTGCGCTGCTGAGATGTCGCGGCGGCGGGGTTGCCGCAGGCAGCTGGATAGGCGACAGGAGAGGAGGAGGATGGAAATAGAAGAGATGAGCGGGAAGAAGGGTGGATGAGAGGACGGGTGAGGCGAGGCAGGAGGAGATAGGAGATCAGATAGGAGAGAAGAGACAGGACAGACGAGAGAAACGAGATGATGGCCTAAAGCAGCACTGAGCACGTTTGTCGCAATCGCCGAAATGGGATTCGTATGCACTGGTCGCTGTTCAAAGCTACGCTGACCAGCGCCGTCTCTGCAAGCGGCACTACGGAAGAGCCATAAATGTTAGAATGACGGCTGCGAATGAACCCAGTATACACGGTCACATCTGTACGGTGATTATCTACAGCATCTGTAAAGCCACTGCTGCAAGAATCAAGAAAACCACTCTCGCGCCATCCGCTGTTGGGGGGCGCCATCGATCAAGGTCGTGACTGACACGGTCCGTTTACCAAATTCATGAGTGCTGCGAGAATGTCGCGACGATTGACGAGCTAGCGACCTAACTGCAATACATGTAGCACTCGCCAGCCCACTCCCGGCAAGGCGTGGCGGCCTTGCCAGAACACGTCTGGCTCGCGCTGCAGGTGCCGTTGACATGGTGCCCGTCGGCCCCGAAGCTGCCGCACACCTTGTGGCAGATGCTGGGAGCGCCCACCATCGCGTCGCCATCGGCCAGCGGCACGCATGCGAGTCCAGGAGAGCAGTCGCCGTAGAAGTGGCCGTCCGAGCCGCTGCTGCCGCACTGCTGCCCCTCCTGCTGCCCCACCTTCTGGCAAGTGCTCGGCGCGCCCACCGGCGAGCCCGCGGCAGGAGCCACACACTCGAGTCCCGAGGAGCAGTCGCCGTAGAAGTGACCGTCCGAGCCGCTGCTGCCACATTGCTGCCCTTCGCCCTGCGCAAGTCGGCGATCAGCGCCGTCGCAGTACATGTAGCACTCGCCAGCCCACTCCCGGCAAGGCGTGGCCGCCTTGCCAGAACACGTCTGGCTCGCGCTGCAGGTGCCGTTGACATGGTCCCCGTCGGCTCCGAAGCTGCCGCACACCTTGTGGCAGATGCTGGGAGCGCCCACCATCGCGTCGCCATCGGCCGGCGGCACGCATGCGAGTCCAGGAGAGCAGTCGCCGTAGAAGTGGCCGTCCGAGCCGCTGCTGCCGCACTGCTGCCCCTCCTGCTGCCCCACCTTCTGGCAAGTGCTCGGCGCGCCCACGGCGAGCCCGCGGCAGGAGCCACGCACTCGAGTCCCGAGGAGCAGTCGCCGTAGAAGTGACCGTCCGAGCCGCTGCTGCCACATTGCTGCCCTTCGCCCTGCGCAAGTCGGCGATCAGCGCCGTCGCAGTACATGTAGCACTCGCCAGCCCACTCCCGGCAAGGCGTGGCGGCCTTGCCAGAACACGTCTGGCTCGCGCTGCAGGTGCCATTGACATGGTCCCCGTCGGCCCCGAAGCTGCCGCACACCTTGTGGCAGATGCTGGGAGCGCCCACTATCGCGTCGCCATCGGCCAGCGGCACGCATGCGAGTCCAGGAGAGCAGTCGCCGTAGAAGTGGCCGTCCGAGCCGCTGCTGCCGCACTCCTGCCCCTCCTGCTGCCCCACCTTCTGGCAAGTGCTCGGCGCGCCCACCGGCGAGCCCGCGGCAGGAGCCACACACTCGAGTCCCGAGGAGCAGTCGCCGTAGAAGTGACCGTCCGAGCCGCTGCGCCGCATTGCTGCCCTTCGCCCTGCGCAAGTCGGCGATCAGCGCCGTCGCAGTACATGTAGCACTCGCCAGCCCACTCCCGGCAAGGCGTGGCGGCCTTGCCAGAACACGTCTGGATCGCGCTGCAGGTGCCGTTGACATAGTCCCCGTCGGCCCCGAAGCTGCCGCACACCTTGTGGCAGATGCTGGGAGCGCCCACCATCGCGTCGCCATCGGCCGGCGGCACGCATGCGAGTCCAGGAGACAGTCGCCGTAGAAGTGGCCGTCCGAGCCGCTGTTGCCGCACTGCTGCCCCTCCTGCTGCCCCACGTTGGCAAGTGCTCGGCGCGCCCACTGGCGAGCCCGCGGCAGGAGCCACACACTCGAGTCCCGAGGAGCAGTCGCCGTAGAAGTGACCGTCCGAGCCGCTGCTGCCACAGTGCTGCCCTTCGCCCTGCGCAAGTCGCGATCAGCGCGTCGCAGTACATGTAGCACTCGCCAGCCCACTCCCGGCAAGGCGTGGCGGCCTTGCCAGAACACGTCTGGCTCGCGCTGCAGGTGCCGTTGACATGGTCCCCGTCGGCTCCGAAGCTGCCGCACACCTTGTGGCAGATGCTGGGAGCGCCCACCATCGCGTCGCCATCGGCCGGCGGCACGCATGCGAGTCCAGGAGAGCAGTCGCCGTAGAAGTGGCCGTCCGAGCCGCTGCTGCCGCACTGCTGCCCCTCTGCTGCCCCACCTTCTGGCAAGTGCTCGGCGCGCCCACCGGCGAGCCCGCGGCAGGAGCCACACACTCGAGTCCCGAGGAGCAGTCGCCGTAGAAGTGACCCGAGCCGCTGCTGACAACACTGCTCCCTTCGCCTGCGCAAGTCGGCGATCAGCGCCGTCGCAATACATGTAGCACTCGCCAGCCCACCCCGGCAAGGCGTGGCGGCCTTGCCAGAACACGTCTGGCTCGCGCTGCAGGTGCCGTTGACATGGTCCCCGTCGGCCCCGAAGCTGCCGCACACCTTGTGGCAGATGCTGGGAGCGCCCACCATCGCGTCGCCATCGGCCGGCGGCACGCATGCGAGTCAGGAGCAGTCGCCGTAGAAGTGGCCGTCCGAGCCGCTGCTGCCGCACTGCTGCCCCTCCTGCTGCCCCACCTTCTGGCAAGTGCTCGGCGCGCCCACCGGCGAGCCCGCGGCAGGAGCCACACACTCGAGTCCCGAGGAGCAGTCGCCGTAGAAGTGACCGTCCGAGCCGCTGCTGCCACACTGCTGCCCTTCGCCCTGCGCAAGTCGGCGATCAGCGCCGTCGCAGTACATGGTAGCACTCGCCAGCCCACTCCCGGCAAGGCGTGGCGGCCTTGCCAGAACACGTCTGGCTCGCGCTGCAGGTGCCGTTGACATGGTCCCCGTCGGCCCCGAAGCTGCCGCACACCTTGTGGCAGATGCTGGGAGCGCCCACCATCGCGTCGCCATCGGCCGGCGGCACGCATGCGAGTCCAGGAGAGCAGTCGCCGTAGAAGTGGCCGTCCGAGCCGCTGCTGCCGCACTGCTGCCCCGCCTGCTGCCCCACCTTCTGGCAAGTGCTCGGCGCGCCCACCGGCGAGCCCGCGGCAGGAGCCACACACTCGAGTCCCGAGAAGCAGTCGCCGTAGAAGTGACCGTCCGAGCCGCTGCTGCCACACTGCTGCCCTTCGCCCTGCGCAAGTCGGCGATCAGCGCCGTCGCAGTACATGTAGAACTCGCCAGCCCATCCGCAAGGCGTGGCGGCCTTGCCAGAACACGTCTGGCTCGCGCTGCAGGTGCCGTGACATGGTCCCCGTCGGCCCGAAGCTGCCGCACACCTTGTGGCAGATGCTGGGAGCGCCCACCATCGCGTCGCCATCGGCCGGCGGCACGCATGCGAGTCCAGGAGAGCAGTCGCCGTAGAAGTGGCCGTCCGAGCCGCTGCTGCCGCACTGCTGCCCCACCTGCTGCCCCACCTTCTGACAAGTGCTCGGCGCGCCCACCGGCGGGCCCGCGGCAGGAGCCACACACTCGAGTCCCGAGGAGCAGTCGCCGTAGAAGTGACCGTCCGAGCCGCTGCTGCCACACTGCTGCCCTTCACTCTGGGCCTTCGCAAGAAAGCGGCGGTTCCCGCTGACAGCATGTTCCTTGGCCTCAGCACCAGGAGACATGGACCCGATGGCATAGAGGCACACGGGCAACATGACAAAGGCAGGTGCCATGTCGACTGCTGAATCACCTGGGTGGGGAGGGCAAACGGAGTCCAGCCTTCCAGACTAGAGCACTGGAGTCAGAATGGTTACCGATGAAAGAGCTGCTGTTGGAAAGTCGACTCCATCCGTCGCGCGCGCGCGTCGCGGCCCCCACTGATCTCGACGAGGCGCAGCTGATGAACCCCCCCAGGCCCGAATACATACCAAACTACCAAACAAAACACACATGTCCCTCTCCCTTCCCCTCCTCCCCTGGTGGTCTTTGGAGGTGCGTAAGCCCGGGAGAAAAAGCTACTCTTGGAGCGCGCCTTTGCGGTGAGGCAAAGTGTCCCTGAGAGCAGAAACCGCTCGCAGTCGTGGTAACACGGCGAGGAGGGAGTTTCAGAGGGCGTGGAGGAAGTTATTTCTGCAGCCAGGACTGGCGGGGCGAATTCACCCCCTACGGAGTAAGTTTTCCCGTATGAGTGTTAGCCAGCGCCGACCCCGCCCGATAGAAAAGCTGCACTGTGCATGTGCAAGCTGTGAATGTGCAAGCTGTGGATGTGCAAGCGGCGTGGTGCAAGCTACGTGGTGCAACCCATGTGGTGCAAGCTGTGGGCTGCCCCTTTACCATCGGCTTCGACCGCATCCGGATGCTCCCCGGTCGACGACGTGCGCTCGGGACCTCTGTGCGACCATGGCCAGCGGGCGGGCGCGCTCACTGCCCGGGCGGCCCTGCGCGGTTGGCTCGCGCAGGCCGCGCGCGGCAGATCGCGCGGAGGCAGCCTGCGCGAGCCCTCCTCTTCGCGGCGCCCACGAAGGGGTACCATCAGACCCGTACGGTCGGTTCGTGCGGCTGGGCCGAGCGGCGTCGGCGCGCGCAAAAGTTTCCGACAACGCGTCGATCGTTCAACCTTGCACCGATCGCAGCCTCCATCGTTCCAGGCTGAATTCCGTCGGGCCGCGTGGGGCTACCGTGTCCCTCGGAGTTTCCGCGTAGTTCTCTCATGCATAATTCAACCTTGAACGCCTGCGCCGGCGTCGCCAGCGCGCCATCGCCGGATGAACCTACCGTCGTAAGCATGCAAGGTAAGGATGCAAGACCCTTGGAGCTCCTTGGACGTCAACATTGGCTCAGGATGGGCCGAAGCAGCAGGAACGCGAGGGTGGCCTTGATGAGGCAGCGCATCCCTACTATTGATTTTAGCTGCGAAGGCCACCCTCTTGGCGGCGCCCACCAGGGGGCACAGTGGAACATGATTGGAGAGGACGCGCGGGAGGACACACGACGTTCCCGAGGGCCACGCTGTCCCAGGAACGCAGGGAACATGGGACGCGATCTGGAAGGGTCGAGCTACTAATCAAACTCGACTGTCGGGGGTAGGGGGTGGGGCGGCTCTCAAATGAAGGCGAGGGGGTAGAGTTCTGGGCTTCTGACCGATTGGAGGCCCCCGACCCATCCCGCGAGGGCCTCTCCCAGGGCCCGGGAGGCGGGGCCCACGTCCCCTCTCGAGCTCTCCTCCTCCTCCTCCTCCTCCTTCTCCTCCTCCTCCTCCTCCTCCTCCTCCCTCCCTCCTCCTCCTCCTCCTCCTCCTCCTCCTCCTCCTTCTCCTCATCCTCCTCTTGCTCCTACTCCTCCTGCTCATCCTCATTCCTCCTTCTCCTCCTCCTCCTCCTCCTCCTCCTCCTCCTCCCTCCTCCTCCTCCTCCTCCCCACTCCTCCTCCTCCTCCTCCTCCTCCTCCCTCATCCTCATCAATCCTCATCATCATCATCATCATCATCATCATCATCATCATCATCATCATCATCATCATCATCATCATCATCATCATCATCATCATCATCATCATCATCATCATCATCATCATCATCATCATCATCATCATCATCATCATCATCATCATCCTCAGCATCATCATCATCAGCAGCATCATCACCACCACCATCAGCATCATCATCAGCAGCATCATCATGACAATCAGCATCATCATCATCTTCTTATTATTATTCACCATCATCAGCAGCAGCATCAGCATCATCATCATCAGCAGCAGCATCAGCATCAGCATCAGCATCAGCATCAGCATCAGCATCAGCATCAGCATCCGCATCGTCATCATCATCATCATCAGCATCATCATCATCATCATCAGCATCATCATCATTATCATCAACATCAGCATCATCATCGTAATCAGCATCGTCATCATCATCAGCATCATCATTGTCATCAACATCATCATCAGCATCAGCATCATCATCAACATCATCATCACCACCACCACCATCATCGGCATCATCATCAGAATCATCATCATGGGAATACGCATCATCAGCACCATCAACATCATCAGCATCATCAGCACCAGCAGTATCATCGCCATCATCATCATCATCATCGTCATCATCAGCAGCATTATCTTCATCACCACAACCACCACCGCCACCACCATCATCAGCAGCAGTATCAGCATCATCATCGTCACAGTCACCGCTACCATCAGCATCATTCTCATCATCATCATCATCAGCAGCATCACCATCATCATCAGCATCAGCATCGTCATCATCATCACCATCAACAACATCAAAATCGTTCATCGTCGTCGTCATCGCTAGTATCATAATCTGCATCATCAGCCTCATCAGCATCATCAGCAGCAGCACCATCATTATCAGCATCGTCGTCATCATCATCATCATCATCATCATCATCATCATCATCATCATCATCATTGCCATCAACATCATCGACAGCAGCATCATCATCAGCATCGTCATACTTATCATTGTCATCAACATCATCATCAGAAGCAGCATCATCATCATCATCATCATCATCATCATCATCATCATCATCATCATCATCATCATCATCCTCAACATTATCATCATCACCACCACCACCATCAGCAGCATCATCATAATCATCGTCGTGGAAAAAACGCATCGACATCAACATCATCAGCATCATCAGCAGCATTATCATCGCCATCAGCATCATCATCACCACGACCACCACAGCCACCACCAGCATCAGCATCAGTATCAGCATCATCATCGTCACAATCACCGCTACCAGCAGCATCATCCTCATGATCATCAGCAGCAACATCACCATAATCATCATCCCGGTCAGCATCGTACTCATCGTCATCAGCATCACCATCAACAACATCATCATCGTTCATCGTCGTCGTCATCGCCAGCATCAGAATCTGGATCATCAACATCATCAGCATCATCATCAGCAGCAGCACCACCATCATCACCGTCATCATCATCAGCATCATTATCATCACCATCTTTATCATGATCATCATCATCGGCATTGTCATTGTCATCCTCATCGTCAGTAACAGTATCATCATCGTCGTCATCGTCATCATCCTCAGCACCTGCAAAATCATCGTCGTCATGGTTGTCATCACCATCATCATCATCATCATTATCATTAGCATCATCAGCAGCATCATCCCCACCGTCATCCACATCATCACCGATCAGCATTGTGTTCATCCTCATCATCAACATCATCCTCATCATTATCAGCAGCATCCTCCTCCTCATCATCGTCAACACCACCACCAGAACCATCATCATCAGCAGCAGCAGCATCAGTATCAACATCATCACCTCACCCACCACCACCAACATCATCATCATCATCAGCATCATCACCATCGTCATCATGATCATCATCATCATCATCAGCATCAGCATCAGCATCAGCATCAGCATCAGCATCATCATCATCATCTCCATCACCGCCACCATCATGATCATCATGATAATGATAGCATGATCATCATCATCATCATCAGCAGCAGCAGCAGCCTCACCAGCAGCAGCAATCACCATCATCAGCATCGTCATCATCACAAACACCGCCAGCATCATGATCATCATCATCAGCAGCAGCATCATCATCACCATCAGCATCAGCATCAGCATCAGCATCATCCTCATCATCCTCATCATCCTCATCATCATCATCATCATCATCATCATCATCATCATCATCATCATCATCATCATCATCATCATCATCGTCATCCGACCCATTCGTCCGACCCCAGCGGCCCAATCCCACCCTTTCATCCGAGAACTTTGGAAGCCGCAAGTATCGCTTGATCTGGTTCGCATCTCGCTGCGGAAGCTTCTTCATCATGGAAACAGCATGGAAAAAAACAAAGAAAACAGGCCTCGCTCGTCGCCTGCGGCGGCCTCTCGGGACGACCTGGGCAGCCCCGGAGCGCTCTCGGCGAGGCGCGGCTGCTGGCGGGGGCGCTCCGCTGCACCTCGGAGCTTCGCGCGGCCAGAGGGCCGAGGTCGGATACCTTGGACGCGGTCGGCTGGCGGGGGCCCCCGGGGGGGGCACGTCATCCGAGCGCGCCGGCCCATGGCGGGGGGACTCCCGCGGGCCCACACCACAAGTCGCCCTGGCGAGGGGTCATGCGCAGCCGACGCAAGCCCCCCGGAGGTCTCGAGACGGTCTCGATCCGATCACCGGGACTGGCTTGTCCAGGGTCCAGGAGTCTAGAAGAACAAGAGGAGTAAGAAACAAAAAAAAGCGTCTGCGCCGGAGGCGCCGCCAGAAGGGCCACAGCGCGGATCCAAGAACTCCGCGAGGGGCACCAAACGATTCTGTTGATGCCGATTCTTCTTCTGCTTCTTCTTCGTCTTCTTCTTCTTCTTCGATGTGTTCGTTTCCTGACAGTCGCCCATAGCAAGAGCCTCCCGTCGCGGAGAGGCCCGCTCCCAGGGCCCCCCCGCGGCATGATATCTACCCCCCGCCATGATATCCCATGATATCCACCCCCCGCCATGATATCCACCCCCCCCTAGTCATCACCCCCCTCTTTTCCGCTCCCGACAGAGTCAGAAGCTGGGCGAGGGCTGGCAAAGCCGTGGCTGCTAAAGCGGCCTTTGGGGATCCCAAGACCGTGCGGTGACAGACCGTGCGGTGACCTCGGAACCCCAAGAGACCTCACCGCACGGTCCGTCACCACACGGTTTTGGGACCCTGGAGGCTCCAGTCGCCCGAGACATCCTCGGAGAACGACCCAAGTCCCAAAACCGCGTGGTGACCCCGAATCCCCACCGACTCACCACACGGTGTGGTCACCACCCCGTTTGGGGGCCCCCGAGGTCTTCCCAGGAGGAAAAAAACAAACTCCCAGAGTGAAACCCGGCGCACTAAATAGTAAACGGGCAGCTTCCAAGAGAACAATTCGCCGGCCCAACGGGCCAGGGCGTGCTAAGATCTCCGGTACCTGGTTAACAGTATTTCTAGTTCGCGCGCGCGGGGCGGCCCCTGGGGGTCCCCGGACGAAAAGTACCCCGGCAAGGTCCCGGCAAGTCCCCGGCAAGTCCCCGGCAAGGTCGGGTCAGAGATGCCGGAGTTCTGTTTCGGAGTCCAAGAGGGCTCCAGATCGGTCCAAGAGGGCCCCGAGAAGCTTTCTAGACGGTCCAAGAGAGGCCCGAGACGGCCAAAGATCGCCCGAAGACGCCCCAGATGGCCCCAAGACAGCCCAAGAGGCCTCCAAGACGCTCCAAGGGCCTTCCAAGAGGCCTCCGAAGAGGGCCCCAAGTTGCCAAAATCGTTGATTTTCATTGTTTTTTTCTATGTTTTTTTGCGTTCTGGCCTTTTCGCTTCCGGACGCTCCAAGAGGGCCCAAGAGGCCTTCAAGACTGCTCCAAGACGGCCCACGAGGCTCCCAAGACGGCCCCGGAGCGGCCCAAGAGCGCCCCCCAGACGGCCCAAGTGCTGCCCAAGGCGGACCAAGAGGCCCCAAGACGGGCCCAAGAGGGGCTCAAGAAGGGAACCGAGAACTGAAAAATCGAGCCCTCCGCCCCAGAAGGCGCCCAGGACCCCGAAAGAGGCCCCAAGAGACTCTCCAAGACACCCCCAAGACGCCCCAATAAGCTCCCGTGAGGCCCCAAGAGGACCAACAACGTCAGGCCCCAGGCCCCAAGAGGACCAACAAATACCGCCAAGAGCCCGCCGAAAGCCCCCCAAGAGACCGTCACGAGAGCTCAGGAGGCCCCCTGGAGGCCTCCCGAGTTCTCCAAGAGGCCTAAAAAGAGGCGCCAAGAGGCCCCAAACGGCCCCACCGAGGCTCCAAGAGGCCACGAACGCGCAAGCAAACGCCTGCGGTGGCACAATACGGGCCGGCGGAATGAGCGAAGCGATTAAATAAAACTAATTCCCGGAGCTCTGCTTTAGCAGCCAGAGGCTTGCCAGCCTTCGCCTGGCTTCTGAGAGTGGATGGTGTCGGAGGATCGCGCTGCATCGTCGATGCATCGGCGATGCAGCAGCGACGTCGGCGATGCATGGACGACGTCGACGTCGAGAAAATCCGACTCCGCATCGAGCTGCATCGGTGATGCATCGGCGACGCATCGGCGATGCGGCGCGACCCTCCGGCCCCATCTACTCCGACCCCATCAATGAGGCCTGGAGGATCAGGCAAACGCTGGGTGAGCAGCCTGTCACCCATCTAAGGCGACAGCTGAGAGGCAAAACGAAGCGGGTCTCACACGCGAAGTGGCAAGGCGAAGCTGCGCGATGGCTTACGCGGGCCGCCAGCGCGGCACGCCACATTAAAAGCGAGGGCGCTCACCCACGACCTTGCGGGGGCAGCTTACGCGCGAATGTCCGCGCAGTCGAACCCGCTTTTCTCCGTCGCTCAGCTGTGACTCAAAAACGTCCGCTCAAAAAAAAATAGTATCCGCCACCACCGTGCCCCCTGGCACGTTGAGGCGTGGTAGAATGCCAAGTGCTGTTTGGAAGGATGTTTGTAATATTCTGAGGGCCCCCCCCCCCCTGGGCCGCACCTCGTTGCGCGCAGCGGCCAAACTGCAGGGGGTCCCTGGACGGCCATGGTGCCTCCCCGGGGCTCTCCAAGGCTTCCATGACGCCCCTGGAAGCCCCCCAACACGGTCCAAGAGGGCCCCGAGTCGCCGAACGATCGCTCGAAGACGCCCACGACGGCCTCAAAATGGCGCAAGAGGCTTCCAAGGCGCCCCAAGGGGCACCCAAGAGGCCTCCCAAGAGGGCCCCCAAAGGCATAGATCATTGATTCCCCTTGTATGTTTGAAAGATGTAGGCGTTCTCGCCTTTTCTGCCTTCCGACGCTCCAAGACCGCCCAAGAGGCCCCCAAGACCACCCCAGAACGGCCCAAGAGGCCTCCAAGAGGGCCCCAAATCGGCCTAAGGGCGCCCCAAGACGGCCCAAGAGGCGCCCAAGATGGCCCAAGAGGGCCCCAAGACGGTCCCACGAGGGGCCCCAGAGAGGGAACACGAGCCGAAAATCCGGCCCAGAGAAGCCCCCAAGAGGTCCCAAGAGGCCCCCAAACAGCTCCCAAGAGGCCTCAAGCTGCCTCCAAGAGGCCCCCGCGAGGCCTCCCACGAGATTCCAATGACCATCCACTAGGCTGATAACCAACAACCCTGGCACGATGGCGAGGCTTGCCGTAGGCAGCTCGATAAACATCAACGGTTGGAGGTCCGCGGAGCTGATTTTTTGGATCGGTGCCGGAGGCGCCGCCATGGGGGCCCAGCGCCGATCCGAGAAATCCGCGGGGACCTCCAAAAGTTCATGTGCATGCCATTCTCTGTCCCCCGATCGACGACATGCACTGAAAAACCTCTGCGCCTTGAAAGTGGATAGCGCGTCACTCCGCTCCGCGGGGCGGGAGGCTCGTGGCGGGAGGCTGGGAACAGCTCAGGACGCTGAAGCTCGGGGACCGCAAAAAGGATAGCGTGTAGCATCGAGGCGTGATGGGCCAGAACCGGCGGAGCGACAGGCTATCCAAAAGTTCCCCGATCGACGATGCACAGTCAGAACTGAAAGTAAGGACGCGCGATGAGGATGCCAGCCCCCTGGACGCCCATGTCGAAGCTTCTCGAGCGGGGAGCGCCATAGAAAGTGGCGAAGGATGGACCGACGAGGCAAGGATGCAAGGGTACCCTTGGAAAGGCTACCCCAGCCCAAGACGACCCGACGACCCGCCCTGGGCTCCAAGATGACTCCGACAACTCGTCCGAGAGGCCCAGAGGCGAGCCCAGGACCCCCCCCCCCAACAGAGGCCTCCAGTGAGGCACGGAGATGCAACCAACAATGGTGAACCTACTGAAGGCCACACAGCGTTTGCGCCTGAGGCTGTCCGGCTGCAGACCACATCAAGGAAGCTTTCCAGAGAGCCCCGAGAAACCTCTCAGCTTGCCGAGCACGGCGAAGAGGGGGCCCCTGGACGGCGCCCAATACTGCGAGAAACCCCGCCAGACGGCCCAGAAGGGCCCAAAGAGTGCCCAAAGAGTTACCAGCCGCCACAAGATGGTCCAACCCAGCCTGTTCCCAACAGCCGCGCCCAACACGGCCCCGAGACGCCCCAACGGCCCCCAACGGACCCCCGAGCGGCACCCAAGAGTGGCCCCTACAGGCCCCCAAGAGGCCTCAAATAAGCCTCCCAGATGCCTTCAAGAGGGACGAGGGAGGAGGAGGAGGAGGAGGAGGAGGAGGAGGAGGCAGAAGGAGGAGGAGGCAGGAGGAGGAGGACGAGGAAAAAAATGAATGCGGAGGAGAACGAACCTGCGGACCACAATGGGGCGTTAGATATACGCGCCAGCACAAACTAGACACTGAACTGGAGTGGGTCTTAAACCAAGCATCCTTCCTGCTGCGCTGCTGAGATGTCGCGGCGGCGGGGTTGCCGCAGGCAGCTGGATAGGCGACCAGAGAGGAGGCGAGGGGAAATAGAAGAGATGAGCGGAAAGAAGGGTGGATGAGAGGACGGGTGAGGCGAGGCACAAGGAGATAGGAGATCAGATAGGAGAGATGAGACAGGACAGACGAGAGAAACGAGATGGTGGCCTAAAGCAGCACTGAGCACGTTTGTCACAATCGCCGAAATGGGTTTCGTATGCGCTGGCCGCTGTTCGAAGCTACGCTGACCAGCGCCGTCTCTGCACGCGGCACTACGGGAAAGCCATACATGTTAGAATGACGGCTGCGAATGATCCCAGTATACATGGTCACATCTGTACGGTGATTATCTACAGCATCTGTAAAGCCACTGCTGCAATAATCAAGAAAACCACTCTCGCGCCATCCGCTGTTGGGGGGCGCCATTGATCAAGGTCGTGACTGACACGGTCCGTTTACCAAATTCATGAGTGCTGCGAGAATGTCGCGACAATTGACGAGCTAGCGACCTAACTGCAATACAGATAGCACTCGCCAGCCCACTCCCGGCAAGGCGTGGCGGCCTTGCCAGAACACGTCTGGCTCGCGCTGCAGGTGCCGTTGACATGGTCCCCGTCGGCCCCGAAGCTGCCGCACACCTTGTGGCAGATGCTGGGAGCGCCCACCATCGCGTCGCCATCGGCCGGCGGCACGCATGCGAGTCCAGGAGAGCAGTCGCCGTAGAAGTGGCCGTCCGAGCCGCTGTTGCCGCACTGCTGCCCCTCCTGCTGCCCCACCTTCTGGCAAGTGCTCGGCGCGCCCACCGGCGAGCCCGCGGCAGGAGCCACACACTCGAGTCCCGAGGAGCAGTCGCCGTAGAAGTGACCGTCCGAGCCGCTGCTGCCACACTGCTGCCCTTCGCCCTGCGCAAGTCGGCGATCAGCGCCGTCGCAGTACATGTAGCACTCGCCAGCCCACTCCCGGCAAGGCGTGGCGGCCTTGCCAGAACACGTCTGGCTCGCGCTGCAGGTGCCGTTGACATGGTCCCCGTCGGTCCCGAAGCTGCCGCACACCTTGTGGCAGATGCTGGGAGCGCCCACCATCGCGTCGCCATCGGCCGGCGGCACGCATGCGAGTCCAGGAGAGCAGTCGCCGTAGAAGTGGCCGTCCGAGCCGCTGCTGCCGCACTGCTGCCCCGCCTGCTGCCCCACCTTCTGGCAAGTGCTCGGCGCGCCCACCGGCGAGCCCGCGGCAGGAGCCACACACTCGAGTCCCGAGGAGCAGTCGCCGTAGAAGTGACCGTCCGAGCCGCTGCTGCCACATGCTGCCCTTCGCCCTGCGCAAGTCGGCGATCAGCGCCGTCGCAGTACATGTAGCACTCGCCAGCCCACTCCCGGCAAGGCGTGGCGGCCTTGCCAGAACACGTCTGGCTCGCGCTGCAGGTGCCGTTGACATGGTCCCCGTCGGCCCCGAAGCTGCCGCACACCTTGTGGCAGATGCTGGGAGCGCCCACCATCGCGTCGCCATCGGCCGGCGGCACGCATGCGAGTCCAGGAGAGCAGTCGCCGTAGAAGTGGCCGTCCGAGCCGCTGCTGCCGCACTGCTGCCCCTCCTGCTGCCCCACCTTCTGGCAAGTGCTCGGCGCGCCCACCGGCGAGCCCGCGGCAGGAGCCACACACTCGAGTCCCGAGGAGCAGTCGCCGTAGAAGTGACCGTCCGAGCCGCTGCTGCCACACTGCTGCCCTTCGCCCTGCGCAAGTCGGCGATCAGCGCCGTCGCAGTACATGTAGCACTCGCCAGCCCACTCCCGGCAAGGCGTGGCGGCCTTGCCAGAACACGTCTGGCTCGCGCTGCAGGTGCCGTTGACATGGTCCCCGTCGGCCCCGAAGCTGCCGCACACCTTGTGGCAGATGCTGGGAGCGCCCACCATCGCGTCGCCATCGGCCGGCGGCACGCATGCGAGTCCAGGAGAGCAGTCGCCGTAGAAGTGGCCGTCCGAGCCGCTGCTGCCGCACTGCTGCCCCTCCTGCTGCCCCACCTTCTGGCAAGTGCTCGGCGCGCCCACCGGCGAGCCCGCGGCAGGAGCCACACACTCGAGTCCCGAGGAGCAGTCGCCGTAGAAGTGACCGTCCGAGCCGCTGCTGCCACACTGCTGCCCTTCGCCCTGCGCAAGTCGGCGATCAGCGCCGTCGCAGTACATGTAGCACTCGCCAGCCCACTCCCGGCAAGGCGTGGCGGCCTTGCCAGAACACGTCTGGCTCGCGCTACAGGTGTCGTTGACATGGTCCCCGTCGGCCCCGAAGCTGCCGCACACCTTGTGGCAGATGCTGGGAGCGCCCACCATCGCGTCGCCATCGGCCGGCGGCACGCATGCGAGTCCAGGAGAGCAGTCGCCGTAGAAGTGGCCGTCCGAGCCGCTGCTGCCGCACTGCTGCCCCGCCTGCTGCCCCACCTTCTGGCAAGTGCTCGGCGCGCCCACCGGCGAGCCCGCGGCAGGAGCCACACACTCGAGTCCCGAGGAGCAGTCGCCGTAGAAGTGACCGTCCGAGCCGCTGCTGCCACACTGCTGCCCTTCGCCCTGCGCAAGTCGGCGATCAGCGCCGTCGCAGTACATGTAGCACTCGCCAGCCCACTCCCGGCAAGGCGTGGCGGCCTTGCCAGAACACGTCTGGCTCGCGCTGCAGGTGCCGTTGACATGGTCCCCGTCGGCCCCGAAGCTGCCGCACACCTTGTGGCAGATGCTGGGAGCGCCCACCATCGCGTCGCCATCGGCCGGCGGCACGCATGCGAGTCCAGGAGAGCAGTCGCCGTAGAAGTGGCCGTCCGAGCCGCTGCTGCCGCACTGCTGCCCCGCCTGCTGCCCCACCTTCTGACAAGTGCTCGGCGCGCCCACCGCCGGCGAGCCCGCGGCAGGAGCCACACACTCGAGTCCCGAGGAGCAGTCGCCGTAGAAGTGACCGTCCGAGCCGCTGCTGCCACACTGCTGCCCTTCACTCTGGGCCTTCGCAAGAAAGCGGCGGTTCCCGCTGACAGCACGTTCCTTGGCCTCAGCACCAGGAGACATGGACCCGATGGCCAAGAGGCACACGGGCAACATGACAAAGGCAGGTGCCAT